ACGTGCCATCATTCTTACGCGATTTTGAGAGCCATTGGGATAACCCCGGCTCCTCAAGTCCCGACTTTATCGTCAAGCTACTTCTTGTAATGTCCATTGGCTCTATCTTTTCTCCGGCTCGCAGTGCATCGGACACCAGCTATTCTACTATATCCCAATGGATATATGTGGCGCAATCATGGCTAAACTCTCCGTTTGAGAAAAGTCGAATCAACGTCTCAGGGACACAGATTCACTGTCTTCTACTCCTGGCACGCCAGGCGAACGGTGTCGGGGGAGACCTGGTCTGGGTCTCGGCAGGTTCTTTGTTAAGGACTGCAATGCATATTGGACTTCACATCGACCCGTCACACTTGCCTAATGTTACTTTCTATGACCAAGAAATCCGACGAAGGCTATGGGCGACCGTCCTGGAGATCGTCGTGCAGTCCAGCATGGATTCTGGCGGGCTTCCCCTAATTCACATGCAAGATATAGACTCTGAGCTGCCCTCTAACATTGATGACGAGCAGCTGGAGGGTGCCAATGAAATTATAGATGCCACGCATGCGAAGCCTTTAGAGGAATATACTATGACCTCCGTCCAGATTGCGTTGGTGAAATCGCTTCCTTTAAGGCTAGGGATAGCCCAATATCTAAACGACTTCCGCTCGGAACACTCTTATGAAAAGACACTCCATCTCGCTTCTCGCTTATCCTCGTTTTGTCGAGACAATTATCTCCTATTCCAGTCCTTCCCCACTGGCATGCCCCGCCCCGCTTCGTTCCAGATTAAGATGCTAGACCTGTTATCATATCGATTCCTACTCGCGCTACACCACCCTTTTGCCATGAAGGCAAGAGCAGATCCTACCCTATACTATTCCCGGAAAGTATGCATAGAGCTAGCTGTCTCTCTTTTGGCCCCCCTCTCCGCCTCCAATGATACCGAATCTTCTAATGACAACTACACAAATCTCAAAATCTCTGGCACCGGTTTATTCCGCGATGTGCCCGTGATGGCTATCAGCACAATATGCGAGGCACTAACCTACCAACTCGAAGAAGAAAGGTCCTCCTTCATACCTGTTTCGAGCTTATTTTCGCATCAAAACCTGCGGGAAATTATCGAAGAATACGTCCACCTCCTTGACATGAGAATAAAACATCGCGAAACAAACATCAAAGGCTATGTGCTATTTTCATGTATATTCGAACACATTAATGCCGTCCAAGCTAGCCTGCCAGTTGAACAGGCAATTGCCTCTGCTTTGAACCGGAGCTTGGATCAGTGCTACTACACATTGAAAACCAGAGCTATGGCATGGGGAATTAATATGTCACCAGACATCGGAATAGATACCCCTGGACATACTCAACTTAATGATAGAACACTTGGGACGCATGATTGGCTTATTGACGATGGGATGGTAAAGTTTGCCTTTATCCCTGTTTTTGTTGTACAAGTAAATTAACATTTTCAACTCCGCTTCAGGATACCGGGATGGGGTTTGATACTTCGCTCTTATCTGGTTCAATACTAAAGGGTATCGGTACGGGAAGTTAATTTCATGCAGCTTTCGCTGTGGACCATTAACTACGCAATTTATGTCCACTGAGAAAACCACTTCTAAGTATCTAACTATACGACTCGATATGACAAATCTCAAGAGTCGGTAATAGCAACGTGGGTCCCACCGTCAACGCCTTGTCAAATTTTATGTCCAGCTAGTGTCCCTTATCACCGAGGGGACAACCTGATCTCCGGTTGAGTCATCATCTCCGGGCATGGCTTAGTTGACCACGGGTCTTTCTCCAGCAACGCTTATCAGAGCCTTTTAAATGACAGATGAGCTTGCTCTTCCAGTCAGTCAAATATGCCAACCTAAATTATCACACGATGGTCCAATGCACACAGGCGTCCTCCAAACTGGAGCTTTCTCTCAACAACCCTGCGAAAGACCAGGAGACAGCGGCTATCCCCAACCAGCCAAACCAAGCCAGCAATGGTGATGACTACACCCTTGATGAATTTCCTGAAGGCGGCGCTCGCGCATGGGCTGTTGCCATTGGCACGGCCGGTATAGCGTTCTGCACCTTGGGTGTTATCAATTCGTTCGGGTGAGTATACCGTTCAATCGTGCTTTTTCAGTTGCTCAAGTCCACCGTACTTACATCTGATAGGGTTCTTCAGGGCTGGTACCAGGTTAATCAGCTGGAGGACCGGACTGCATCAGAAATATCATGGATCGGGTCCACACAGGCATTCTTCGTGTTTGGGGGAGGTGTAATCGGAGGGCCTCTATTTGATCTCTATGGAGCCAAGGTACCTAGTATTGAAGTGCACCAACTGAACAACTATCGGGCTGATTTTAGGCTGTTAGGTTATTCGGCCGGCGGCATTTCTCTATGTTGTGAGCATCATGTTGACCAGCGTCTGCAAGGAGTATTATCAGTTTGTGCTCGCTCAGGGCATTCTTGGTGGTCTTTCCAATGGCATGACCATATTTCCAGCGATGTCCGCAGGACCACAATATTTCAACAAGAGGCGCGCCGCTGCCATGGGAATAGGGATAGCGGGGTCTTCCCTAGGAGGTATCGTCTGGCCCATCGTCCTAAGTAAGATGTTAAATGAGACAGAGCTGGGCTTTGGATGGACTATACGCATCGTGGGATTTGTGTGTCTAGCCCTTCTTCTGCCATCTTGCATAGCAGTCAAAGCCCGCCTCCCGCCGCGAAAAAACCAGTTCTTTCTCTGGTCATCCTTTAAAGAGCCCCCTTATCTATATCTCGTCGCTGCAGGCTTCTTTGGGTTTCTTGGAGTATTCACACCGTTGTTCTATCTACCTATCTATGCCTATATCCAAGGTGCAGGCGTCTCACTGGCCTTTTATCTCGCGGCGATTTTCAACGCAGCATCGTTCGTGGGTCGAGTCGTCACCGGTATTCTTGCCGACAAACTGGGCCGCTTCAATATGTTTTTCGCAGCGACCATCAGCAGTGGTCTCCTTACAGTTTGCTGGCCTGAGGTCCATACTAATGCTACATTGGTTGTTTTCGCTTGCTTCTTTGGCTTCTGCTCTGGTGCAGTAACTATGGGAATGGCGGTGGCCTTCACCTCCATTCCTAAAGACCCCAGGAACATAGGTACATATATGGGTATGGGCATGGGGATCGCTGCTATAGCGGCACTCGTAGGGCCCCCTATTAATGGAGCACTCCTTAGCGGCCGGGGGTTTGCTTCAATGGCATACTTCAGCGGATCAGTGAATTTTCTGGCGGCGTTTTTGGTGGTTATAGCCAAACATTCGACCACCAAAGGGATTTTTTCGAACAACTGAGATAATTTTATATATATATACTTATCCCCGAGCATCAACATTCGTTAGGTAGCTAGGCTTGCATTCCCTTGATATTGTCTTCACTGAGAAAGTCTTCGTTTTTCTCTCCGGTACCTCAAAGAAGTCATATCTCTGTTTCTATTCACCTCTCTTCTTCATGAGCTCCCTGGCCTGCTATAACAGCAGGACAGATTAACTAGTTAATCAGCCACATTTAACTATCACCCGAAGAGAGGGCTTCGCAGCCGACCAAGCACCAGAAGTCTTCCCCCTTGCCCTGTAAACTCACAGCCAGTACTGCACTGGTCACTGTTTCTCCTTTCATGATCATACTTAATATCATCTCCTTGTTGGCGACGTTTGGACTTTATGACCATGGCTGAGCGTCTGACTTCGACACATAGCCTGGCAACAGTTGGGCTAGATAATGTATCTCCACAGCACTTCGAGGTTTTGCAACAGGCTTTCTGGACAATCCTTTTTACCGATCTAGCCACAGAGACATTTGCCCAAGTCGTTGACGGCCGTCCCACGCGTGACGTCTATCGAGACTATTTCAATGAGTTTCGCAAAAGCTTCGAGAATAATATTCATCCAAGCAATGCAGCCTTAGAGGCTGTCGAATCTTACCGTCGAAATCTAAACCTTGGTAATACTCAGATCAGTGCAAAGGTAGTATAACCATTATATTCATGGGCTCAAAGCTCTACCTCGGAGGACAAGTACTAAAAGCTCGTGAGTAGCTTGCACAAGCATTCCAAAACGCCAAACCTGGATCAAGAGAATTCCACCTGCGTCTGATTGAGATTCTTGCTGTCCTCTGTCATGGCATCGCTGTCCACCTGTACCAAGCCTACGATGGAGGCTTCTATCGGCCAGAGCCCCCCGACCCTATCACATGGCACGAGGAACTCGTCCCTAATATGCCGCCACCACCGCCCCGTAAAGCTTTACCGGCGGAGCTTTACCATTCCTCTTACGGCTCCTGGGGCCAATACCCAAATGGAGTTGCCGACATTGTTGGTTACTGGGTGGAGTACCGTCTGTTCGGTGGAGTTATTCTATTTGATCGTGGAGAGACCGGGTTTGAAGTAAGAAGACACTCCTGTATTTCTCTTGTAAGATCCTTCAATCACTAACTCTTAATCATTTTCCCACCCTAGTGCAAGGATATCTTTATTCACCCTGTGGGCAGGTATATGATCTTTCAACTCTCAGAAACTCAAGTGCAGGCCTATATTAGCTTTCTACAGGGCGGACCACAGCCTCCAGGTGGCATTCGCTTCAAGGCTGAAGAATATGCACGTCGTGTCGATGATAACTATGCTATGGATATAAATATTTATCGTGATAGATATGAACGGATTATACCTAAGCGGCGGGCACGCTGTATTATTCGCGGTGAGGACCTCCCAGGACATGCGCAGGCTATGGAAGATTGGGCCAGGCGAACGGGAAATAGTTAGGGATGGTAGAAATTATTTTGTCAAGCCGCAGGCTGCAGCGAGAGCAACTAGCTACTGATGGGGTCGTAAATATGCTATCAATTCATTATCACATTACTCGGAAACCCTGTTCCAAAAGCAACCAAAATACAGGATAGGAATATCTGAAGTGGTAAAAATAACGGTGGGGCCGGAAGACACATAACGCTACCTAGGACTAGAAAAAAAAGAAATATTACAGCCGTGAGTCAGTCACAGCCATAAAACCAAACTTGGGTATGCTTTTTGATAGCTAAATATTCATACGCCTCTTTCAGTGACTGTCCAGCGTCTCTTTGAGACAGGCTCGCGACTCCTCAAACTCCAGAGGCCATGCTGCGATCTCGCGCGTTGAGGCGCACCATCCGATGTGCTACTATTGCGAGAGGTTGTAGAGTTAGATGCATCCCCTACCCCTCTTGGAACAGCAGATCCTTCGAAGTCGGGCATTATATCGTCGACAGGCACGTTGGCAGGGGAGGAAGAACCCCACAAACCTGGAGCAGCGTGTTTATCAACAGAAAACGATCGTGACAGATTGTGTAGCCCTCTGGTGGTGCCATTGAAGCTAGAACTGCGCGACGGTCCAATAGAGAATCCATTATCTGGTGAGTCTGGAACAGACGATAAAGATGTAAACCGGTGCCTATACGATGATATAGAGCTAGGAAACCCCCTAGGGGACGGTGACTGCGCCGAGTTGTTATTGCTGACGCGAAGGTGATCTGTTGAGTTTACCAACTTTACTTGGTATTCTTCAGATACTTCACTTGGACTCGGCTTCCTTTGCATTTGCTGGGCGGCCACCACGTTATCCGCCGTAGAGCCCTTGTGAGTGGCGAGAGTCAAGGAAGCCATTCCAACATCCAGGAGGGCGGGCCGGTTTGTCAAGGCACCAATAATGGCATTGCATCCGGCGCCGTGTGTAACAATTATGAGAACTGTATCGCTGTCATCATCTTCTGTCGTGTCTGCTGTGGCGGGCGGATCATTCGATACAAGTTGGCATTCCTCCCGGTGGGACAACCTCCGTTTACTCTTGTTGCAGTCTGCAGTCTTGTACCAGGTCATCATTCTTTCGAGCCCGGCGCGGAACCTGCGATGCATGGAACTCCACTCCTCTCCGTACTCCCCGCCGCTGCCCCAGTCAAGAGGGCTCTTCATGCTGTCCCATTGATAGTCCACGTCAACACAAGCATCCCTCGCATGTGCTACATACCCCGCGGGTATGGGATCTGAGGGGGAAATGGCATAAGTGGGCGTTGGAGAGATATATTCGGTGTCATCATGTGGCTGTGAAGAAACAGTCGAGAGCTTCGGTAAGCCCTGAATGCTGGCGGTTCTATCAGTTGAAGAGCTTTGAGTGTCCATCTTGCCCCCAAAGGCATGCGCGGACACAGGTGGTGGAGTATTCTCGGCTTTCCCTTCAGCGGCATTGGCAGAGGCGAATCCGTTCCAGCCTCCGGGGAAGTTTCCACGTGCCGACCGGGTACTTGCACTGGAAGGCAGGGAGTCCTCCTCCCGAAGTAAGCTTGCCTTTGCACCAGCCAGCATCATGACAGATCCTGGCGGCGGGGTTATTTGATCGAAATAATCCGGGGTAAGCCATTCACCCAGCCAAGCGTCCAGGCGCAGCAAACATTGCTTCTCATGCGACAGGTTTGTCCTTGGCTTTTGGGAGTTTGCTTCACCAGCTAGCTCCTGAGGCTCCTGGATAGCAGTTAACTGGGGTGAACCCTGATGTTGCGGCCGTGGAGAAGAGGAACGCCAGCGGTGGTGGCTCGATGGAGGAGGGGTTCCAGGTTGAGGTCGCTGGTGAGGTGAGGGGTCCGCTGATGCACGCTTTGACTGGCTGATTCCCGCACTGAGTGATATTCCCGTCTGTACACAGCGTAAAAATGGAGATGAGTGGATGATGATTCGATGCTTCCGCCGCTCTTGTTCTGGCAGGGCAGCGCTAGGCGGGCTTTGAATAGTATGATGGCTGCTCTCCTGCGAAGCATCAGAGGACGATAAAGTGGAAGGAAGACACCCATAGAGTTCGCGGTAGTGTAGGAGGGATCCAATGCGGACCCCAAGGGCCTGGGACTGCTTCCAGCCGCCGTATGTCAGAGGGGGGTCGTATGGCGTGGGCGAGGTAAGATGCCACTGTTTATCAGCCGCATCCAGTCGAGCCCCATGTCTGGAGTCGTCAGGTTAGTTATACACGCTCACTCGTCAAAGAGAGGTCGAAGAATATTATAGCCTTACCTGACGACAATGATGATGCTTGGCGGCTTCCCCATGATTGTTCGCTGGCCACCTTGCTTGTTCAGCTGGAGACCGGGATAGCAGGCTGATGGTCAGCGGTTGGAGGGTAGAAATGAAAGACGAAGAGACAAATTAGGCGGAAGTCGAGGCCAATAAAATTTCAACGACTGGCTTTGCGAGTGTCGGGTAGGTATCCGTGAAGTGCTTGCATGGCTGTTTTATTGGGTTCAGTGTTTGGCGGTCGATGTAACTAACTGCGCAGCGGGTTGGTTGTTCAAGGGCGCCGTTTGACAGGACGACAAGCCCGGACATCACACGGCGAGGAGAACGGCGCATAGCATGCAGCGGACGGTCGCCATCACGACACAGCCGGAGCTTCTGGCGAGCAAGAGGGGGCAAACAAATATACACCCTTTATTCGTGGCTCTTCTTCTTCTTCCTTCTTCCGTCTGCCGTCTTCGTCTTTCGTCGTTTTCGTTCGTTTTTCTTGGAGTCGTTAAAAAGCATGTGATCTCTCTGTCACGTGAGGATCCATGATGACTCAGCTGGTTAGTTGCTTATGTCATCTTCCATCTTCTTCGCGACTTCGACTTTCTTTGAACGTCAACTTTTTCGACTTCACCTTTGTATCTCGCCGGATTTCACTCCTGTTGCTGTGACTTCTTGCTGCTAGCAAACTATGCCATGTTCCTCCATATTTGCTTTTGGCAGCCTCTCTCAGCACTCGATAGATATGCCTCGGGTTACTCGCCGCATCTCCTTTGTCCGGCAGCCAGTTCGTCATCCAATACAGAGGACAGTCTCCTTGTGACAAATGCCTAGGTGATTATTGTATATGTGATTGCTGCGGTCTTGAATTAGGCTCGATTGCAAGCAGTCGTGCAAAAGCCCTCCAGGATAGCTACAAGCTCTCTGTTTTGTGACAAATTTTTGTGGGATATACTCCGTATGCACGGAGGAACCCTCCCAAGCGATTTGATGTGTATGTACCCATATATACTCTTAATTTCTTAACCAAAGACTCCTGGTTCTGAAACTAAACCTAAATCATAAAACCGCTACTAATAATTGACTAGAGTCGCAGTTTGTTACAAGGAGGAATGATTTTTTTTTTTTTTAGATCCGTAAAATGTGAGTCCATTTGACTGTCGCCTTTCTATGTGAGCCGTTCATAAAAGTGCATCTAGCTCCAAGGATCTACTTTCGAGCCCTGGTGTTTACTCCAGCTGAAAATCAAATGGCAAAACTAATGTTTATCATGAAATCAGAGGTACTCCGTACTATGTACTGTTATCATGGGCATTGACTTTATCGCCAACTCCGCGAGAATCTCAAGCCGTGGATGGCATAAAAAAGTGTTCTTCCGTTCAGCCTAGGGGAAGCCGCTGCGGTCTCAACCAGGCTGACACACAAACCTCGTACTCTGTAACCAGCTGACTACCGACTTACCTGGCCGAGAGCCGAACGAGGCCAGGGACCAGGTTTTGCATACCCACACTAGCACTCTCTGCCTTTCCTTGCTGCCCATTCGCTCCCTCCCCACCCCATTCATCCTCCATACAGCTGCTGTCTCTATCGCACGATAGTTACCTATGGCTTTTCCCCGGGGTATGCTCTTCAACAAGAGCTCATAGCGACGTCTTCCCCGCACACTTTCCTGGCTCATAAAAGGCCCCAAATGTGGCTCCTCTAATCCCGGAATACTGGGTCCAAGTCTTCATCTCCGCAAGCCTCGCCTACTCTCGGGGCCCGCTAACTAGCAAGGGGTGGGTTCCCCGGGGCGTCCTGTAGGATGACGGCCTCAAGGACAACGAGATGATGGTATTCTGCGAAGTAACTAGCTCGACCCGACAGTTAGATGTGGTCGCTTGTTTTTCTCTGGCGGCTAACTAACTAGTTAACGAGTTAAGCGATCGCTTGGCGGGCTGATCGATGATCGCTATGCCGATGCTGTGGTCGTTTCCGTGAATATCATGACTATCATCATGAACATCAATACCCCTTTCCTCCGCCTTCTCAGCCAGCCCAAGGCGCCAAGTAGTCCCTGTCATATGCTTGTTTCAACGTTCCCGCTTCTTCCGCACTCGGCAGAGCGGGCCATGGTCATGGCATGGACACTTTCGTACTTTCTGTCTGAACTTTCTCCCATGCCTTTTGTAAGGCATGCTGTCTAGGTCCTGGGAGCCTGTCCTCCGCCCCCACCCAAACGCCCAGTGTAGCCGGTCCGATGCAACCCTAAACTATCCCCTGAAGGCCTCCAGGTAAACGAGCTAATCAAGTTGTTCTAGCTGGTGTTTCTTTCCTTTCCCTTGTCACCGGGGTCAAGCTGGTCATGGCTAAAGATTTTGCGGAATCATCAATCTTGCGCCGAGATTATCCCCAGCCGAGGGAGGCACCATATATCACCGGTGATACCTATATATAAAGCATGCGGAATGCTCTTTCTCTGGATAAGGGAAAACTAAAATCAGCAGATATCAACATCAACAAGAGGCATCTCCGTCCATTTCTGTTTCCTACCCAAAGACCTCTCATACCATAGCCATTTGATTCCTCTCTTATCTTTCTACGATGCAATTAGTTGCTGCACTTGCTGCCCTGGGTGCCCTGGTGGCCCCAGCTGTGGCTTATCCCCATGCTCCCATGAACGAGACTCTCGTCGATGTTCAGCTTACTGCTGTTGGAAACACAATGGTCAAAGCTACCATCACAAACAAGGGTGATTCCGTGTTGAACATGCTCAAGTTCAACACCATCATGGACGAGAACCCTACCCGCAAAGTCATGGTTTTCCAGGACGGTTTGTCGCCTGACTTTTCTATCTTCATTCCAAATTCACTAAACATTTGACAGGTGCCGAGGTTCCCTTCACTGGAATGATGCCACGATATCTCATGAGCGACCTCACCGAGGAGTTCTTTACCACTCTTGCCCCCCAGGCAAGCGTTGAGCACTCCTTCGATATCGCTACCACCCACGACCTCAGCGCCGGTGGAAAATATGTTATCAGTGCAAGCGGTGCCATTCCAACTGCCGAGGAGTACAGCACCACCATCACTTCTACTGCTCTGTACGAGTCCAACGAGCTCCATATGGAGATTGATGGGACCCAAGCTGCCGCTGTCGAGCAGGCGATGAAGTTCACCCCTGAGATGCAGTCTATTCACTCCCGAGCTTTGCAGAAGCGCACCAAGATTGTTGGCGGGTCTTGCAACCAGAACACTCTCCGTGCCACTCAGAATGCCCTTGGAAACTCTGCCCGTCTTGCCCAGGCTGCCTCTCGTGCTGCCTCACAGAATGCTGCCAAATTCCAGGAGTACTTCCGCACCAACGATGCTAACGCTAAGCAGAGAGTAATTGCCCGCCTCAACTCTGTTGCCCGCGAATCTAGCTCTGCTAACGGCGGTTCTACAACATACTACTGCTCTGATACCGTGGGTGGCTGCAAACCCCGTGTCCTTGCCTACACCCTGCCATCACGCAACCTTGTTGTCAACTGCCCAATCTACTATAACTTACCCCCACTCACAAAGCAGTGCCATGCTCAGGATCAGGCCACCACGACCCTCCATGAGTTCACTCACAACCCAGCCGTTGCGAGCCCACACTGCCAGGATTACGCCTATGGCTACCAGCAGTGTATCTCCCTCCCAGCTGCCAAGGCCGTCCAGAACGCCGATAACTACGCCCTATTTGCCAATGGTATGTTTTATAGTCTCTTCACAATCATATTTTAGTATATTACCCGTGGCTAACATTATGATGTGTATAGCTATTTACGTCAACTGCTAAGCGATATCCCACGTTCTTTGCTACCGCTTGAAGTGACTTTTGTGAGTGTGATGAATTCCATTGTACATAGTTATCACTACGCTTCACTTTACATACTTCTTTCTCGGAGTGGCTGAGTAGACATACTTGCTTATTCACTAGCCACTCACCAACAACGTTTACTACTTTACATTCAACTTCTTGGTCACTTCGTAATACATATTCTAGAGCCTAAGCATCGCTAGCCGGGTTTATATCCATCCCTCGACGCAATTGCCGTAGCCAAATTGCCTAAGGCTAGCTGTCCATACTTTCAACGGAAAAGGCTGAATTGCCTTATACTGAGCAGCCCGGTCTCCCTTTTTGCAGAACTCTTCGAAATGACTCCAGTAGATGTAGAAAGCCCCTTCATCTCCAGAAGGGCTAGAAAAGTCGACGGATAATTCGTAAATTTGATCTTTCTTGGTGATTTCGTTATGGAGGTACTGGCTTCACGACAACTGGCGTCGAGAGGGCTGCCATATAAGTCTTCCGTTGGACTTATTGTGGCCGTTGTGTTTCATTCTATCAACCTTTAGTTGATTATCGGGTATATATCTCTGGTAGGTGTTCATACCGAAATAGACAAAGAAAGGAGTTCTCATCACAAAGTTGGAGGATACAATGGTGCATTGCTTCTATGTAACCCGACAAGGGTTTGAACGGAATGAAGTCTTTGGTCTTAGTACTCTAATATATATTAGAAGAGATAGAATGGAAAATAGGGTACACCATACTTACCTTGAAGAAAAGAGTATTTGACGACGCATCAAGTTTCCATAATCCTAGGTTACCAGAGACTGATCATACGAGTGGCGATATGAATTGCAAATGATGTGCATCTTCCTGTCCCACCTTTCCAGAGAGGGAGTAAATCTATTGCTGGCGTATTTTCAAGTACCACCCTCATTTTGTCTCTGCTGATAGGCCTTTGGCTTGTCGCTATCCTTCTCGTCCGTGTGATAGGGGGCGTCCTCGTCCGTGTCGAAGGGGATTGGTTCGCCGCCTACAACTGTTGTCATTTAATAGGAAGAAAACAGTAAAAAACAGCAGTATATAAAACACTTACCTCGTGGCCCACACTTCCGTGCCATTGCTGAGATTTCCTCCGGGGTACTATTCTTCACGAATTTTAGGAATCGAGCCACACGTTCTTCCGGGCTTTCATGTTGCGCCGCAGGAACAGTAGGAACAGACTTGTTAGAGGCATTTTCGGGTTTTACAAGAGGCGCAGAGTTAGTCGACGATACACTTGGAATGCCTATAGGGTTAGGAAGCTGGCTGTTGATATACTTGAGCGGTCGGCTATTGTGTTGGCGTCCGCGGCCTTTGCTAGTAGAGGAGGGCCCATGGTAGACGTCGCCCGGTCGTAGTGGGACACTTTCCTATAGATGCAATAAACGGTTTTGCTAGCTATATGTTGCTCGGATGTCCGATAAACCACGGGTGAATAAATGAATGCTGTTATTGACTGACTCACAGCCTACAACAGATACCTATGTATAATCAGAGAAGGTGGATGGAAATAAGATAGAAGTCCCTTTGAATCACTGAAAATACCCGGTTGTCAATGACGTAGTTAGATCAGTCATCCACTAAGTTAATATCAACAACGACCGCCAAAAAAAAGAAAAAAACTTAACCTCGTATAACTAATGGTTAACTTTCTGTCGAGGAGCAGTCATATTATTAGAAACACTACCACACGAGTAAATTGATCTCAGACCTGGAGGGCGACATGTTTGGGAGCTTGAGAAGAAGTCGTCAGCGCGTCGCAACCGCCGTTAGCATGAGTAAATCAGCCCATTCACGCGGACAGCGCAGGTAGAAAGCAGTAAGGACATACATGCTCCTATCTGTGGTCTCTGTACGGAGTATGCCTGCTTGTTGTCCACATTTAGCTTCATCTAACTCCAGTATTCAAATTCGAAGCATCCAATCGCAGTCTCTCCGCATAACTATATTAATAAGAAGCTTTATATCTAATGGTTACTCATGGCCACGTGAGGGTCCATAGAATACCGACCAATGAAAATGCCCGTGTTTCAAAGCTTGGATCATGTGACGGCATCAGTTCCATCCATGTTTGAACTTTCTGTTTTTCGAGGATCGCGCAACCAAAGCAGGTTTCATCGCAAGGACTCGATTGAATGAACCGCCAACGGCCAGCTATTATTACCTTACCATTATATTAGCTGGGTACGTCGAGTAGTCAAGATGGCGGAAGAAACTGGTGCAAAGCGACTCAAGTCGCCGCCGCTGATCGGCACACACAAGTGAGTCCCCATGGCTAACCATTGTCAAAGCAAACTAACAACGGTTGGTCTCGCCAGCGGTCACTTCCATGCCGATGAAGCGCTTGCTGTTTATCTCCTCCGCCTGCTACCAGCCTACTCGACCTCTCCCGTCATTCGAACACGCGACCCGGGTCAATTAGCTACCTGTCATACTGTTGTTGATGTGGGAGGGGTGTACGACCCCTCGCAAAATCGATATGACCACCATCAACGAACTTTTGATACAACATTCCCTCAGCACCAAACCAAATTGTCTTCTGCAGGGTTAGTATATATGCATTTTGGTAAAGCAATAATAGCCCAGCATATGGGGCTCTCTACCGAGCACCAGGACGTCAGCACCATTTACGAGAAGCTTTACGCAGATTTCATTGAAGCGCTCGATGCTCACGACAACGGAATTTCCGTTTATTGTCCCAAGGCCATCTCCAATGCCGGTCTGGAGAAACGATTCCGAGACGGTGGAATAAACCTGGGTTCGTTGATTGGTGATATGAACCTTTGTGGACCAGGCGAGAACCTTGACGAAGACGCTCTTTTCGCTAGAGCCAGTACCTTCATCGGAGAGGCTTTCTCGAGGAAGCTTCATGCTGCCAGTAGCAGGTGGTTGCCCGCTCGAGCTACAGTTTCACAGGCTCACCAGTCTCGCATGGATGTCCATCCGTCGGGAAAGATAATGCTTCTTGAGAATTCTGGAATTCCATGGAAGGAACATTTGTATCGTCTGGAAGAAGAGGCCGACAACGTAACCGCAGGAACTGCGGACAATAAAGTCTTCTATGTCATATACCCGGAATCAACCGCCGAGAAATCCAACTGGCGCGTTCAATGCGTTCCTGTTAGTGAGAACAGTTTCGAGTCTAGAAAACCACTGCCAGAGTCATGGCGGGGTGCGCGGGACTCGGAACTTGATAGTATTATATCTAAGGAGATGGAAGAAAAGCAACGAGAAAGGATACCCGAGGGTGCTATTTTTGTCCATGCCAGTGGATTTATTGGCGGACACAAGAACAAGGCAGGAGCTCTTGCTATGGCTGCGGAAAGCCTTCACTAGGTTATTTCAACTTGCCGCCTTAGCAGGATTGGTGATCATTGCTGTCTTAACTAACGTAAAAAGCTAATGCCAATGATATCGACTTCTGTACTTTCATTATAGCCCCAGATAGGCTTTGGTAACCTATATTTTGATCCTCACTTCTTTATCTAGTGACCTGCACTACCATGTCTATAATATCCAAACCGAAATCCAAGAGGATAACACTGCATAAATGGTCCAAAAAGTGCTTAAATCATGCAGGATAATTATACTTACTAGGATATCAATTCATACGGATGATCCTACCATCTACCACAGGAGCTATGGCCCGGGTCCATGGCGGTAAATGGTCCTTGCCACCTTGCTCAACGGTCTTAACCCGGTTTGGATCAACTCCCAGCTTTTTCCGCCATTTTCGGAGAACTCTTCGGGCAACTAGTTCTCTGTGATCGGCATCATCTGGAGACAGGGCATGGGATGTGACATAATTACGGGGTCGGAAGAGGGATTCTGAGTGGGAGTCAGACTCGGAGTCCAGGGGTGTGTCAGCCCCTATTCGGCCCAGAGTGGCAGCACCAGGCTGCTGATGGACCGGCGCAGCCGTCATTACTGGGCTGGCCCCTTGGGTAGCTCCCGGCTTGGATATATAACGGAAGCTCGTTTCAGGGAGAATATTAGTTGGAGTAGATGTGCTGCTGCTGGCTGGAGGAGTCAGCTCCTCTGATTTGAGCTTCTTGTGGACATACATCCAGTGCCGGTCCAGACTAGGACTGAGACGATTCCATTTCCCTATGATCTTATTACTTAGGAAGTACTGCCGGAGCATGGTGCTGAGAAGGAGACCATCTTCTTCGGACACAACCTCCTCCGCTTCGCCGCCCTCACTCCTGGTGAGTAGTGAGGCGAATCCATCCTTCCCCCTGGCCATGTAGCCTCTCGTTGATACGGTGTAAAGTCCGTCATCTCGGAGATCCTCATTGTTTAGTTTTACCCATAGGATACGGGAGCCAGGTGGTTTGGACATGGAAAAGGCAAACTTGATATTTGATACCTGGGGGAACCGCCCTTCAAGAGCAGGCAGCTCGCTAACGCCATTCTCCAGTGCCAGCCAAAGGGCCTTGCCCGTAATGCGGAGAACTACCACAGGGTCTTCGAAAGGAAAACAATTGAGGATGTCTTTCACTCTGAGAATCCCAGGAGGGTATATTTGGTCCCCTCGAATTGTCCCAGCAGCCATGATTGCACAGTCCGTATTATGGTAACATCGCATCACGTCACATACGAAATTTCCTAGGTTCGATTCTTGGGTGCGGACCGTAATGAACCGACCATCAAGAGGGGTAACTGTGTATCCGATAGGCTTATGAAGCTTCCCCTTGAGGGCTGATGTGAGCTTGTCTACAAGCTTAACAGTCCCTAGGTGTTTCGGAAGATCGCGTGTGATATCTCGCCGGGTGATGTTAAAATCCCAGCCGGAACCAGACTGTTTCCTCCAGGCTTCTATGTAGCTAAGCTGCTTGAAGTCTGTTCCGGAACGCAAAACGTGCGTAGAGTTGATAAAACTGTGACTGTAATAATGATCATGGCCGCCTAGAATGATATCCACCAAGCCAGGAGGGATTTTTTCCGCGAGTTTGTTATCGTTTGGCTCTCTCTGATGAGTGACGGCGATGACTATGTCTGCGCCTTGTTCACGGAGGGTGGGGACCAGCTCTTTCGCTGTTTCTGACGCAGACTTGTATATGAGATTCGGAGGGAGGTAGTTGATAGTAGCAAGCCTATTGGTTACCCCCCATCAGCAGGTTGCCTCTGGCAAAATACAGGGAGATCCAGCGTACCATTCCCTTTCGCCCAAGCCTATGACTCCAACTTTTATTCCGTTTGAAGAGACGAGCATGCAAGTCTTCTGGCAGTTTGCCAGGGGCTCACCCTCGCCCAGGGCCGGGTCAAGCACGTTTGCGAGCAGCCATGGAAACTTGCATTGAGATCTCAGGTGCCTGAACTGTGCAATTCCAAAGTCTAGATCATGGTTCTATCGATATCCACGGACCGTTTAGCAATCGCGATCCAACTGTCATGGAAGAACGTAACTAGTTATAATATATATTGTAGAGGGAACGTACACCAACACACGCAACATCTGTCCCCACATGGTTAAGAAACGGGACCATGTGCTGGCCCTTCGTGATAGTGCTCTCAAGACTCGGGTTGAAAGCGTCTCCAGAAAAGAAGGTGAGGATTGAGGGCTGTCCAGAGAAGCTGGGATCGGATCGATAATGGTTCACGAGGGTCTGAAACCGCGGGGCACCACCACAGGGATCTGACGAGGAAGCTCTGGGCAAGTTGTCAGTATAGGATCAAATGGATATTTTTTCTCAGCAAAGGAAGCGCCAACTGTATATCTCACTCGACATGGTAGACGTCGTTGTAGTGCAGGAGCCGCAGGTCGGGAGTACCTCGTCGCCCGCTGTCAAAGGTCGAGGTACCCCCGCTGGCCACTGTCTGCGGCGAATCCCTAGTGTCCTCTGGCATCTCTTCCGTATGTCCCCTTCCTTACTCTGTAACTATATAATCGGCCGCTAGCTGGATATATTTCCTATGAGAATGAGTTGTCTCCTGGGCTTCGACATCGCTGCCCAGCGTTGCTGGGCGTGGGTCAACTCGACCTTAAGTTGAGTTTGTTAACTAGTTAATTAGTTAACTTAGTTCGTTAACTAACTAGTTAATTAGTTAATGAAAACGGGCTGCTGTGACGTCACCTTTTTCAAAAGTTACACACATAACTTATCGACCAAATGTTCTACATTTTTCAAAACCGTCTTACATCCAGTATCATAATTCTTATAATATACCTATCTAATATAACTTCTCAAAGATTTACTAGATATAGGAGTAAATATACCCTATGAACAGAATATCTAATATAGCCATACGGTGCTCGTCTGCCCTGATCCGTCGGACGTACTGGCGGCCTTCTTATCTTGGGGCCCAGCAGCTGAGGAGGTGTTATAGGATACCATCAGAGACGACTACAACGCCTCGCCCTATAGCAACAGATTTGTCTATACTCAAGGCCGCAGCTGCTCCGGTTTTATCACAAGAAACCCCGCGAGTAAGATGGGCAGGGGTATTTGGTGACTTCGCTGTGGGAGCAGAGAATGATTACAGCGTGGTGGATGTAATTATTCTCTACGACTCTGACAAAGTTGGCCCCAACAGATGGCCCCCACAATTACGGGGCTTGGATGAGATTCTGCCTGTAGCTTGGGGCCGAGATGCTGTAGTCGAGGAGTTAACTATAAAGAAGGTGCCTCACTTTTGGTGTATTGTTCAATTTTTACGCTCGAGGGTAATTTTTGGATCAGATGATGACCCTATAGTTATGCAAGTACGTCAGGAATGGCTTGATATTTTGGTAAATGGGGCGATACATTTTAAATCTCTTATACGTGATATAAACGATATCACTACCACTATTCAGGGAAAGTCTCTAGAGGTATAACCAGTTTCTCCTATAATCTACAATCCTGATATACTAATTGACTACCTAGAAATTATGTTCAGACTCTCAGCTCCGTCAGACAGTTTTGGAACGTATCATGGCCGTGCTCGATACAATCGATAGAGACCTTGTTAATGGGTATTCATCCAGTCCTTTCAAAGAACTACTTCAGTTCGACGGGCAACGTGACTACGACATTATACAAGACAGGATGAAGAGAATTATAAAGGGTAATCGGACCCAATCGAAGTATAGTGTTGACCAGTCAGATCAGTTATGTAGATCTCTCTGGAGACTCGCCACAGCTTCGGGTAGAGGGACGTTGGATAGACTAGGCAAATGGATCGAGATGCATGTGATAGCAGGCATCGAAGAAGCAGTTGAGCAGCGTGGGCACGTTCAATCGCTAACACCGAAAGAGAGAATACACGTTGAGTACTATTATTATGCTTAAGTATATGGGTGAGCTTTCATCTGCATCCACTGCTTGTTAACTATCTAACTAGATGGGGCATTGTAGTTACCTGGTCTCGAGGCCTGCCCTGTAGCTGTATATCAGGCAGACAGCTAACCCTATCATCCTCCTCCTTACGATCTAACAAAATGCGGGCAAGCTAGGGCAGCCGCCAGGGAGCTCGCAAATCAGCCCGATTCGGCAACTGGCTGGTAATTGATGTTGACAGCATCGATGAAGACATCATGACTTCCGTAGCAGGTGTATGGGCCCAACGAGGCAGTAGCAGCAGGCCAACCCTTGGGATATTTCAAACGACATCTTTGTATTGATAGACAGTTAACAACACGACGAGTACCTCTGTACCTAGTTGAATAAGTCAATGAAAATGGATAAAAATACCCGAAGACTCTTTAGAGCTGCCCGTCGGGGCATCATCCTTTCCCTGACCATCGCAGCGGATCGGCAGTTTACCTTACAGGTATGTACATCGCAAGAGCACAGCTATGCCATAACTGTAACTCAGTAGCCACGAGTGCTAACCTACGAAAAGTCATTACAAGCTGCCAGAAAAGGTTCCGTGGCCCATGCAGCGGCGGGGGCGCTCGCCATTTGCATGGCGAGCGCCGTAGAGAATCTGAATGGGGTAAAAAGGAGAATGAGGCGTAGGTACACTAATGTCTATAAAGACATCCGTGACATGGTCAAAGCCCGCAACCATCTCGCCCACCGTTTTGGGCATGGGATAAAGCCTTTCAGTTGGGAAGGTCCTTATAAAACTCTCACCCGTTTCCCTTCCCTCCTATGTGAGTTACGGAGAGTAAGTCGAGAGGGGAGATAACCCCAATTGCTACCATATCGACAACCACCTGGAAGAGGAGCTCTTCCATCCGCTCATTCGTCATATAAAAACAGCAGTGAAATGCCTAGAAGGCAGGGTGATCAACTGGGTGGGCATCTCGTTTATTAACTAGTAAGAAAACTGGGGGATGCTGTGGCCTCTTCCAAAAGACAAGAAAATACTTTATATATCAGAATACCAAAAACTAACAACATTAACCAGGGGGTCATAATAGGCGTAAGCGAAGTATCGCCAGCTTATCGTCTGTCAAAGAACCAGCTGCTACGTTTTGGGCCGGCACTTGTCGAGGAATCCTGTGCCTGGACACCGGACAGGGTGGAATTGGACGGTGCGTCTGCACCACCGCCGCCACGAAGTGGTTTCGCTATCCTCGAGCCTCCAAACCCGAAGCCAGCCGAGTCGGAGGAAAGGCCTTTAGTAGAGCCGGCTTTGGCGGCTTCTAGGCGTTCCTTGACGGCTGTGAGCTGCACTTCGAACCTGTGGGTAGAGGAAGAGAAGGATAGGTTAGCTTCTTTGGTTATGATGTATTTGTGATATTGATTCAAAACACACCTGTGGTTGGCAGCCGTTAGCTTTTCCTGGCTTTCCTGGAGAAGGGCCTCTAGGCTCTCGATTCGTTCATTTCTGGCTATCAACTTCCGTTCGGCAATGGCGACCTCCCGCTTGAGGCTACCGTTCTGTTCCACCAGTTGGCGTTGTACATGAGTCAACTGCTCGAGATTGCGCTCCAAAAATGCCATCTTCTTCTGCTGGGCACGGTTGTTGGATGACTGCAGGACTTGTTTGTACTGCTCACGGGTCTCATCCAGCGATATTTCAAGCTCGACTACCCGTTCACATCGATTCTGCAAGTCGCGCATAAGAGATTTCTTCATGATGTCAAAATCAGCAATCTGCTGCTGCAGAGTCTTGCTGTTGATGGTCGCACTTCCTCCTGCACTGGCAGAGGATCCATTGGGCTGAGAGCGCGCTGTAGAGTCGGCGACAGACTGTCTCAGGCGGGTAAGCTCTTCATCTCTGAGAGATAGCTCACGTCTGAGATGTTCCATGGCCATCTTCTCCAGCTCGTTGCCTTCAGAGTATGCCTGGCTGAGTTTTTCCTTTATTTCTGAAATATCCGCCTCCCCAAGATTCTGTTCGAGAAGATCGTCGACTTCTTGCTGAAGCACAGCTATCTTATCCAACAGCTTTCCGTCAAAAGCCCCGTTGAAGCCTTCTTCACGGCTGGTCATGGCAAGCTCAGCTTGTCTGATTACCCCCTGGGCTTCCACCAAGCTTCCTCGTAACTCAACAAATTCCTCTGGGGAGACCGCTTCGCCTGCAGAGCTGGTTGCATGTAGACTGTCTACACGCTCGATCAAGTTCCTTATCTTGCGCTCGTTCTCAGAGAACACGTCCACCTTCATGTCAAACCCGGCCATCATCTTAGCCATCCGTTCTGCCTTCTTTTTGTCTTTCTCGTCCAAGGCTGCGCTCGTCTCCTTGGCACGCATGCGCACGTCAAGAAGCTGTTGCTTGAGGTCATCCAGTTCAGCCGTAAGCTCGGAGTTGGCTTCCTTCAGGGTATCCATAGTGATGGCTTGCTCCTTGCTTTCATATGATACCTTCTCCAGCTGCATGCGCAGCTCGTTGACCTCCGCGTTCAGTTTCTCGTTGTCTTTGCCGGTTCGGACAGCATTCTCCTTGAGTATCTTAAGCTCCTCCTTTTTCTCTTGGACTTCCTTCTCTGCGTTGGCGATGTACGTTTCCTTTTCTGCGAGCTGATCCTGCAGTTCGTTCTCTCGCCGCAAAAATTCCTCCCGCTCGTCTCGTTCCAGGACAATACTTGGTGTGCTAGATCGTTCTCCAAATCTTGATTCTGGCCGGCTTGGGGCCTCTGATCGAGACATATCGGACTGCAGTCGGGATGGAGTTCCTGGACGGGGAGTACGGGCATCCGCCTTGAGGTTTCCCACCGTATCTGTCGATCGCAAGGTCGTCCATTTCTCTTTTGAAAGGTTTTCTCCAGTTCGCCAGACTTGCACTTCGTTCTCTAGAGCAGATATGTAGGTTTCGAAAGTAGTTACCTGGCTCTGAGCCTTCTTGAGAAGGTGCTTGAGCTCTGCTGGACTCAATTCCTGGTTAATCTTCGCCTTGTTCTTGATGGCCTTTGCTCGTCCACCGAAGCGAAGAGTGCTAAGCGTTTCAGCATCGTTGTAGCTACTAGGAGAGCAGTTAATTATCAGTGTCGTTCGGGAGTTACCTCCCAGACTTTCTTGCAGAATTCTAGTGAGCTTCGAATCTCGGTATGGAATGTGAGTAGATTTGCCGTCAGTGAGAGCGTTAATGACCATCCCCAGTGCACTCAAACTCTTGTTAATTTTCTTCGCTTCTTCGAGGGTCTGTCCACTGGCGCCGGTTTTGCCCACCTTTTCACTGCCAGCAAGATCAACAAGGAAAAGCTGACCGCTCTTGGCCGACCCAGTCTCGACATTCTTCTGAGTGATGGTGATGACAAATATCGAGTGCGAGCGAGACGATTCCTGATTCATATTCGTTGCCGCAACTGCTCTCGAGGTATCACCCCTTCTCATCACCTCAAACACCTCCTGTACACTGGACACGTATATTTCAAGCAAGCCCTTGACGTAGACGCCCCTTGATTTCTCCTCGTGAACGGGTAGGTTATCATTTTGCGGCACCAGCAGGTCTCTTATCCGTTCCATATATATCTCCATGTAACTGACACGCACGGTGTATTCAATGTTGCCAGGGCTGGTCAGGATGCTGGTGAAGATCTGCTCGACGATACGGGGTATGATTCCCTTGCCATCGGGGTCGTCGATATCGGATCCCATCATCGTGTATGACTTTCCCGCTCCTGTCTGGCCGTACGCAAACACAGTTCCATTATATCCATTCATAATATCATCAACAGTCGACCTGATCGAGAAATCAAACACATTTGACTGCTTCGAGTTCATGTCAAATATACGGTCGAAGGTAAAGGAGCTAGATGCCTCTTTTGACTATATCATCAATACCAGTTTGAGTTAGTTTTATGCGTCTGCTATTCTTTTTCTTCATTCTCTTCTTGTGTCCATCAAACTTCACCAGCAACAAGGAAAACGTACGTTTATTCTGCATGTCTCTTCGGATTCGAACTCCACGATCGGCTCGCCTCCATTGGCAATTTCTACTTTGTTCTGCGGCCTAAATCGTGCAACAACTATAGCAATCAAACGGCGCAATAGTTAGCTAGCCTGAGCAAGGAGAGGAGCTATCCGGTGATAAGTCGACCACGTACCCTTGATGGTGTTGAAGCCTCCAGAAGCACCGGAACTATTTGTCACCAGCAAACATGTTTGTTAGTTTCCGAACATAGCCATTATCGGTTTATTCCGACCAACTTACGCCATGGTTTGGGCTCTGTTCGGAGGAATCGTCCTCGGCCCTTGGGTCAGGAGAGGGGACACCTAGCTTGCGAGACAGCGAGAAAGTCCGCCAGCGGGGAGTCTTGAGGAGTAACAGCTAAAATATGGCCAGAAGACAAGATTCCAAAATGCATCAATAAAAAGGGAGTGTAGTGGGTAGGAGTAATATTTATTTGCTCTATTGTCGTTGTTTTCCGTGCTGGCTGACGAAACTGGCTCAATATTTATTTTCCAGGTTCGAAGCGGCCCAAGGGGTTGGCAGAGCGAGAGGGACCCACGTGAGTTTATCGCCCTTGTCAACACACGCGAACAAGCGCTGCCTTAGGCGCCAGACGACGACCAGGGGCAGGCAGCGCGCTTCGCTGGCGAGCAACCCTTAGTATCGTGGAAGGACATCGCCAGCCATCACCATTACTAAAATGGGGGACATGCAAGGTTAACTCGAGGTACGGGAGGATTTGCCCCTGGCTTAGCTGACTAACTCGCTTGTTGCCCCTGGACCCGAGCCAGATAACCAACAGAGCATGGGTTCCTGACATGATTGGCGCAGCGAGAGGCGGACACACAGTGAGTTAAACGGGAAAGGGGAATATTTTATACACTCGCTTCTAACTAGCTAACTAAGGTCACGGTAAGGTGTATACCACCGATAGATGCAAAGCATGGGGTCATTTCAGGTCTCTCAGTAGCCGTGACTCAACCTTCTCCAGTCTCTGGACAACGATGGCCGTGGCAGCACCGCCTCCGTTGCAAATAGCTGCGAGGCCATACTGGCCTGGCTGCAGCTGGTGGAGAAGAGTAGTAAGGATTCGCGAGCCAGAACTTCCAAGCGCGTGGCCAATGGAGATAGCGCCTCCGACAGGGTTGACACAGGCATTCTCAAGACCCAGGATCTATGGGAGTTAGACAAAGTTAGCCACGGTTAACAGACAAAAGAGAGAATTTGAAGAGTGCGAACGGGATACGAACCTTCTCGTTCGCCTTGATGACGGCAGCAAAGGCCTCGTTGAACTCCCAGACAGAGATCTGGTCCTTAGTTAGGCCTGCCCGACTTAGGGCAATTGGGACAGCCTTGGCTGGGGCAACAGGGAAGTCGACTGGGTCAATTGCGGCATCTGCATGGGAAACAATACGGGCAAGTACACGATTGCCGGAGCCGTACTCGCGGGCGAGAGCTTCGTTTGTGATGACAAGAGCAGATGCACCGTCGTTAAAGGTCGAGGCGTTTCCGGCGGTAATAGTTCCGGTACCGTCCCGGACGAAGGCGGGTTTCAGGCTGCGTATTTTATCGGCGCGGAGGTCCTCAAACCCTTCGTCCCTATTGACGACAACTTCGCCCTTCTTCGTTTTGATTGTGACAGGAGTAATCTCATCGTCAAATTTGTTCTCCTTCCACGCGGCTTGCGCACGTTCATAGGACTGGATGGCATAGGCGTCCTGCTCCTCCCTTGTGATATTGTGCTTCTTTGCCGTGTTCTCAGCACAGACACCCATATGGAATTGGTTATAGACGTCCCACAGTCCGTCTTTAACCAACCCGTCCTCCAGCTTCATGTCTCCGAAGGGGGCTTGCTGGCTGGCGCGGGGTAGGTAATAAGGCACACGGGACATATTCTCCATTCCGCCGGCGACCTGAGCTTCAGCAAGGCCAAGCTGGATGTTCTGTGCCGCCATGACGACCGCCTTCATGCCCGAGGCGCATACTTTGTTGATGGTGACAGCTTCAACCGTTGTGGGAAGGCCGGCGAAGATTGAAGCCTGTCGGGCAGGGGCCTGGCCGACGGAGCCCTGGAGCACATTTCCCATGTAGACATCAGTGATTTTCTCGACAGGAACCTTGGACTTGCTGATGGCTGCCTTTATGGCTTCAGCACCAAGCTTCGGTGCCGGGACCGTGGTGAACGGGCCGTTGAACTGTCCTCCCCATTCATTGGTTAGACCAACATCTCAAAGAAATATGAGTGTATTCGTACACGTTCTATGGACTCACCTTTGCAGTTGGCGTCCTAGCAGCGCCGAGAATATATGCATCCTGAATTTCTCGTCGAAGTGCGCCGGATGTGCTGAAATGTCGCTGGACCTGTCCAAGTCGTTGCGCCGAGCCGCGGCTGGCAAGGCTGGCCAGTCTGGAAGTATGCATCATTCTTAGTCTTGAAAGGTGCAGGATGGCGGAGCGAAGGGAGACGCAGCAGCACTCCACAAAACTCCTGTATATGTATATCTGTCTCGAGCAAGCAGGCTTTGATGCTGTCAAAGATGAATCTGAATCTTCTTCTGTTTCTGCTTCGTCGTCCTCCCTCTTTTTTTTGCCGCGAGGGAGCACCTCGGGAGTTTCTTTTTGGTCCGAGCTCCCTCTCTCCTGCCGAAACTACCCGCGATCACGTGCAAAATTCTTCGGCTGTTCGGCACCGCCAACCGAGATGACTCAGCATCCGTAAAGGGACTGTCGGGTAGGTCGACCTGCTATCACGAGACTTCGGGTCATGGAGCCCGCCATCCCGTCCTTCAAGTCTGCATATGTTGCACATTTTACCTGTCCTCATATTGTTAACGGTCTCCGAGTTCTGAGACGCTCAAGTCCTCTGCCGAAGTCATTTATTCTGGCCTCCTTGATTAGGGATTAGGGAAACCTCAGAATACCATAATTTGCCAGCATGGTATAGAGATGGCGTCCTCCAAATCAGGAATATAATAGCTGCACATTCTCCTGGTAGCTCTCTCGCGATTTTTCACGATAATTGCGGAGGGTCAAGAGGAACACGCTAAGGAAACGGAAAAGCGGCTACTTCAATTATTAACGGCTCTATAGACCAATCCTATTTGTTTCGAGCTACCCTCTCGAAGGAAACATCCTTGATGATATTGTATGGCTTCTCTCAGAAGTTAGGTTTGAAGAATTTGAAGTTTAAGAGCAATCCGCGATGCGGAGCTCGACGAGTAGCATCGTGAACTCGAGAGAGTATCGAAAACATTTTGACGCAATGTTAAAGAGAGAACTTGATGAGCTGTGTATAAATATCCCAGGATTCTACAAGGCCTTTTTTCAAGGCATCGAATGGCTGCGGCCGCCAGGGCTGTATTTGAAAGATGTTCGGAAGGGAAGGACCCCCTTTACAGCAACGAGTCTGGCTGGAGAGAATGGTCGTGCGAAGGAAGAAGATATACTAAGCTGATTCCAATGGACAATGGGCGAATTCGTTCGCCTATATAAGGAGGAGTATGCACCAGACCAGACACAAGTACGACAAGCAATCTCACGCCTGGTTCGAGCTGCGACGGTATATGACGGAGATGATAATCGCCCAAGACCGTCGCCTGATTTGTAAAAGTGGTAGCTTATGTGCTTGTTGACGTTTCTACCACACCTTTAATCACTTGAAGATACCACGAAATCTGTTTCAAGCCCGACGTGAACTATTTTTGTTATTCTTATTCGGTAGCCAAGCCAAGGGGATTATAGGATCAAACCCCGTGCTCTGCTCGGTATGGCAACTCCGCAGGCCTTCCTTGACATCTTGCCATATCCACCAGAGCTTCATCCAATGAAGAAGCTTTAGAGCTTTTGAGATGATCGGGACAATCCAATTTTTGTCTCTTTTTACTATAAAGACATCAACCAAAGCGTAAGGAGGATTTCAAAAATGAAAGTTAAAGTGGGTAATACAACCTAGTCTTATTATAGGCAAAATAATATCAGTAAAAGCTCATAAACGGGGAGACTAGATAATTATAATGAGGCTAAATGACTGGAAGCTGTTTAATAATACCATTCTTCTTCTCAGCAACATACAGATGCTGGTTTCCTGGCGCAGTTGCGAAGTAAAGAGATTGTCTGATGACATCACCAGAGAGTCTAGTGGCACCAGCGGTTGCTGGTGTGACAATACCTGCCTCTAAAATCCAGTCAGACACAGCATTGCCTTGCAAATCCAGTAGCTGTATCTCAACGGAGATTTGCCGTCGCCTGAGTGTTCCACCAGCCGTTGTTATTAGGACATCAGCGCCATATCCCATGTAGGTTGGAGGGATGCCCAAGGCTGTTATATCCGTATCAAAGACTGTCAAGGTGTTACTTCCAGTGTCGTTGAGTATTGTGACATCGATCGAGATGGCAGGAGATAAGAGACCCGGAACTGGCCTAACTCGTGCAAATATCTGCCTGGTTTAATGGTATGTATCAATGTGTATGGCTGAGTAAATCCTTACTAGAAACCCAGGATACTAACCTCATGCCCAGGGGCTTGGCCTGATGGGTAGTGATTTTATCTCGTGCGGTGGGCGAGTTGCTGGTTCAAAGGCTGGAGGGGGTATGAATGTAAGCCAGGAGGTCGGCCTCACAAGAATGTACTAGACAGAAATGCGTACGCTCTCAGACATAGGCTGAGAAGCCTGGCTCGGAACCATAGCCTGTGAGGATAGCTGCTGGCCATAACCCTAGATTAAAATAAGAGTAAGCACAGAATCGTTTTGCGAGAATGGGTGTGAAGAAAAGTACCTCGACCCAATATGGTCGCTTGAAATCAATATTCTTATGGGGAACAACTTTGCCATCCTGGATCCATTTGAATTGTCCTGGGAGCTCATTTTCACGATACAGGTTGATAGCTGTTTGGAGGTTTTTTTTTCTGGGGCTCACTTGTGGTAGGATCATCAATCATGGTCTGTAGCTCCGTGATACGTCCTGATACATCCCACTGAATGGGGTGCGGACATGCAGGCAGTGGGTTGAAGGGGCGGGTCGACATGGCTTGCGAAGTGCAGTGAAAATAATGACCTGAGGCGGGGGTTGAGTGGCGAGGATGGTGGGCTGCCTTTTATTTTGTGTCAAAGTCTGCCGCTACACCAAAAGGAGTGAGCTCACACTAATGGTAGGCAGAGCTGAAGTTTGACAGTATGCTTTTTCTTGAAACTCAACAAGCGCTTGCATTGCAACTGGTTGCCAATGACTCAGCTCCACGCTCCGCCGCATGCCTGCGATTCGTGGTTTCGAATAGTTGATGCCCAGAGTGTCACAGGAGTCGCGATAGTTCTCTCGCTGAAAGGATATATTGTCGAGCCACTTTTTGTTGCTCTGTAAAAACTGCTAGTTCCCCTGGATTGTCCTCTATCAAAAATGTCACCTTACCTGAACCTCGGAGGCTTCAACATCGGCAGCCTCAAGCTCCTTGTGCCACAAAAACGCATTCAGGCTATCGTCGTGTTTTGAATTGTCGTCGCAGGGTGTCTCTTGGCTCATACCGAATGATTCACAGCTACTTTTTGCCTTAGCCAGAGCTTTCTCAACAAACGCCGACTGCCACCATGGGTCAGACATGTCCATCCTGTCGGACTTGCGTACTAGTGTTTTAAGGGGCTGGACATCGGTTAACCAGTCGGGCTCGCTTTGAGGGCTCTCCGCCCTTCGTTTACGGCTTGCCTGAGCCTTTGGATATTTGGTAGCTGTTGTCCGTTTCTGACGGCTGGGAGTGAATGAGTACTTCTCCCTTTGAAGAACGTACCATAGCAGTGTATCAACGCTCTGAGTGGACATGTTGTGTTCGAAAAAATAACCCCTCTGCGGTCCGCACGGTCAAAAGAAACTAGGCGTGCCAGTCTTGACGAGCTCACTTGCTGGTGTCGTGAAATGAAAGGAATACTTCATCTAGTCGGCTTCTCCTTTCTGGATTGCCTCTAGCATGTCGTGAGCTTAGCGCTCTTCGCCGCTAGCTGTCTCTCTGGGCCTAAGACATGCTGTTAAAGTCTGCCGCTACACTAAAACGAGTGAGCCCACACTAATAGTAGCTCTGTGACTGTGTGTGACTGTGGTGATCATGGTGGATTCTGCCTGCGAGCCTGGGTGTCTCCCTCCTCGAGAAGATGACCTAAGCCGCTATCCGGTCACGAGACTTCTGCTACGTGGATACCACCGCTAGTTTATTTTGGGTTAGCGCCATACACTCCCTTACACAGGATCTTACCAGAGGTAAAAAGGTACTTCTTCTCTTTTCTCTTTACTCTTTTACTCTCACAACTACGGAGTAGTTACCTCTCTCTCTACGGAGTATACTTCTTACTTTGTAGACTTACTTCTCTCTTTACCTTTACCTCTTCTTACTATACCTCCTTTTCCCCCCTCTTCTCTCTCTCCTTTCTTTACTCCATAAGAATAACAAGTACTCCCTCTAATCCCCTTACCCTCCCTAACCCTCCCCCTAAGGCCGAACCCTAACCCTACCCTAAGTCTTATTAAAAGAAAGGAGGAGGTAAAAGGGAATATAAGGTGTAGTAAGTAAAGAGGGAGTAAGGAGAGTAAAGTAAATTAGGTGTAGTGTCCACAGCTCAGCCCCTTAGGTTAGGTACCTCTAAGGCGCTGTCACGAGACTTCGGATATTTATTTTTCCTATAATTAGTCATTTCTGCTTAGTCATTCAATTAGTCATACCAGAACGGCGGAAAAAGCAACGAAAGAGAAAAAGGAAGGCGGAAGAACGAGCAGAGAACTAAAACATCCACCAACTGCAGGAGAAAAGACACCATAAAAATCGTCAAGGAGAACAGTAAAGGAAAAAGGAAGAGAAGGGCTTGCGCGGCTATTGAGATAACCAGAAGGGCAGCTACTCACCCCGCAAAATAGAGATTGCTTTCTTCAAGCCCGATCAGCGAGGGAACCACCAACAGGACAGGGTACCGCCACTATCACAATAGCCGCCAGGGTTGTTCGTCCAGTCTATCTACCTGTCTCGATATCTCCCTCCCCGCCATGTCGACCTCAGCTCGCCGTCGCCTCATGAGGGACTTCAAGGTATGTTGTCGCAGCTACCACTACAAGCAGTTCCTGTCTGCTACGAGGGCTTTCACTAACCGTGGCTTTGTTGTAGCGGATGCAAACCGACCCTCCCGCCGGCGTCTCCGCATCTCCTATCGCCGATAATGTCATGACTTGGTACTCAAGCTGTGCCCAGCCGTATTGTTACTGTATGGCCGGAAGCGTGCTAATACTTATGTCTAGGAATGCTGTTATCATTGGGCCTGCCGACACACCATTTGAAGATGGAACTTTCCGCCTCGTGATGCATTTTGAAGAGCAGTATCCGAACAAGCCCCCAGGCGTCAAGTTCGTCAGCCAGATGTTCCATCCAAACGTTTACGGCACCGGAGAGTTGTGTCTAGACATCCTGCAGAACCGCTGGAGCCCAACTTACGATGTTGCTGCCATCTTAACTAGTATCCAGAGGTAAGGCATTCTCGAACCTACCATTAGCCAGAGTAACTTACTAAACTGGGCGGCTTGCCAAAATAGTTTATTGAATGATCCCAACACGTCATCCCCTGCCAACGTCGAAGCCTCTAATCTCTACAAGGATAACCGCCGAGAGTACACCAAACGTGTTCGTGAGACCGTTGAGAAGAGCTGGGAGGACTAATCTATGTCTTCCTCGCCTCACAGCTGTTTGAACGAAGTTCTTGATTAATATAACGCCGCTGCCATACCGCCAATCATTCCTATGATTCTACGACTCACCGCTTCCCAATCCCACCATTATCTCCTTCTCTTTCGATATTTTTGTTCGCCATGCACAGCGTTGGGGTTATGGCGTTGAGTGCTTTCTATGTTACATACCCAGATCACCTTACAGACCTCAATATATGCCCTTATTAAACTTTGCAGCTATATACAAATCATACTGCATTTTTCGATAAATGCCCGTTCGTAGGACATAGGATTGGTAGTTTTCATTAGGCAATAATTAACTCGGGAAATCATAACATTGGTAGATTAGATACATGACTACCAACTGGTTTAGTGTACACCCATATCAAATATATTAACTGCAGTATGTAAGGAAGGATGTTCATCCGACCACGTGTTGAGTAAGTACCTCCCATTACTATTTACCTCCACCACACCAACATTTGCCATCCCCTTCTCTTTCGACTTGGATCAAAACGTCCATCCCTTTCTCGCTCAAGTAATCGGCCACACGGGTATGGACATCTGACAAATCTGAGTTTTTCGAAGCAATGATGTGTATGACCCCGAGGACGCGTCTATTGCCATGGTCGTCGACAGGCCCATGGCTGTGGCTGTGACTGCCACACTTCGTATGACCGTGGGCATGATTGTGGGTGTGGGAGTGATTATCAGAGTGGGAGTTGTAGCTATGATGTGAAGAGCAATGGCTTCCCCCGCGGTTATGCTGATGGCTGTTATGTGTATGTGTATGGGTATGGCCATGGTCATGGTCATGGCTATGACTGTGACTATGATGTTTGTGGTTATGGTCGTGGACGGTATCATCGAGCCAGAATTTTGGCACGGTATATCCAACTACCCCCCGCATGACACTAACCCCAGCAAGAGTATCCCGAAGACTATACTCAACGTCTGCCGGCAATGCGAGAAGCAGGGTCTTCGAGCTGCTGATAACAAGAGGTATAGCTGAGACAAATATCAGAATCGCTATCAAGCACGACGCAATCGGATCGAACCCAGACCACCCGAAAAAGTGCACTAGTACAGTGGACGAAACAACCGCCACTGATCCAAGTGCATCAGCAAGTATATGTAAGAATATACCGTGCATATTTTCATTCCCGTGTCCATGATCATGATCGTGTCCAGCATGGCCGTGACCATGATGCGCATGGTCAAATGCAAATATCCCAACCATATTAACAACCAAGCCAAGCGAGCTTACAACAAAGAGGTCGCCAATCCTATGCACTTCGCTGCCTGACATCAACCGTTCCACGGCCTCGTATATTATCTCAACGCTAATAATCCTGTGGGATTGTCAGCAACTTTTGTCCATGGCGTGGTGTTTATTCAAGAAGGATTTACTTACATCAGAAACACACCGTTTCCAAAACCTGCAAGCGTATCAATTTTGCCGTAGCCATATGGAAAACGAGAGCTCGGTGGCCACTTGCTCATGACAGCGGCCGCTAGGCCAACAGCGAGAGCAAAACAGTCAAACAACATGTGAATACTGTCACTCAGCAGTCCCAGAGAACCAGTAACGACACCATAGGTCAACTGGACTACCATAAACGTTAGGTTCAGGCTATATACTAGGGTCAGCAAGATAATATGCCCAAAGTCCAGAACAAATACGAATGAACGACTCACTTCATAAAATAGAAAATACGGCGTGAATCCCTTTCCTTCAGGATAGCGTGTATAAAAGGCCACTGTTCGCACGCCCCTAAAAGCCATATAGTCATTCGAGAGGGTTTCTTTTCCATCTTTTCCTGTGAGTGGTTGTCGTTATGTACCATCTTGCAGTCGGCGAAGGATGCGAGACAAGCGAGCCCAAACCTAGTAGCTTGTAAGGGTATAATGTGTGTTTGAGATGTTACAAACGTAGCTATGATGGCAATAATGGCGCCCGACGCAATGGTAGGCAGACTCGGCCTGCCAGTAGCATCAATACCATATATCAATTGGGATGTTGCTGTGAATAACCCAACAACAAAGACAGGAAGGAATGATAGAGATACTGCACTGAAACCACCCGAGAACAAGACAACAAATAAGACCAACGCCCCAAGCACTGTGCCAATAACGAGGTTCACAGTAGCTGTATCGTCGATATTATCCTTCCTTGAAGCGAACTTTTCATCCACAGCGGTATCAGTGAGCGTCAAGAGAGAACCGGGGGACGGAAGCGTTATAGTAGCAGCAATGGCCATGTACCCTTTGAATACCTCTAGAGGTTGAGCAGAGGATATATAGGTAATATCCAAGACAGCCATGGCGACAATAAACAATGCTGATACCTTCCTGTGTTTAAGAGTCCGTATTGTTCTAGTCAACGTATTCCCACTAGAGCCAGTCCTCGAATCCGTGAAAATGTTCAATAGTAGCACAGCAATTACGACATCAAATCCGATCATGAAAGAAGCATAAAGGGGCAGGATCATCCATATTGCGGTTCTCATCCCATCGTAAAGACTCGAGCGATTCGACTGAAAGCCATCCGTAGGTCCAGCATTTCCATTCACACGCCCCTGGCGTATTTTTTCGTATATACCATGTACTAGTAGAGCAACAGATACATATGCACATGATACTACTAGCGGGATGCCAGCAAATCGAAGAGAATGCGACGTCTTCGTACTCTGGGTTTCGGATTTGGCAGTGCCCAAGCGGATGGGCCCTGCAAGGAGATAGGACATCACGAACGGCATGGCAGTAAGAAGACCAGAAATTATCTGTTGTCCAAGCCCTTGGGGACTGTGGGAGTAATCAGTTAGATGGCCTCCCACGATAAAAGATACTATAGTAGGAAATGGTTTTGAATGCGTGCACTAACCTGGCCGAATGTGGTACACGCTGCTTCAGAGTGGTTTGCATATGTACATGACTGCTGGTGGCATGTCCAAACGGAAGCTCATCTTGGGAGGCAGTATATCCATGCCCATGATATTCATCCCAGCTTGCTCCGCCATTCAAAGTGTTCATCAAGCCGGGGCCTTGCTTGTCAAGGTATTGAGTAGAGGCCTCCTCCTTGACAAGGTTAGAAGAGTAAACAGGTGCATGTGCATCTTGTAGTGGTATTGCGCCTCCTGTGTACGGCAACACCTGTGGTAAGGCATGGTTGGCTGAGTTGCCATGATTCCTCTTATGGCCGCGTCCGCGATGGGACTTCCCGCCACGGGCGCCATTCATGGCCTGCGAAATCAGTGGGGCCGACATTCCCCATTATCTCATAAGCTTGTTCAATCGAGATACCTAGGCCATCGCCGCATCCAGCGCGATAAGTCCGTTCAATGGATTGTCAAGAGTCGGTAGGGACTTGCTCGGCTGGCTGGTCTCGCTCCTGGCGTGAGAGTAAGTGAGTCGGCAGCAGCGTATCTCGGCTGTCCACGGAGACAAGGTATCGGCGTTAGCAATCAGGTAAATAAATTGCCTCGGGTACCTCCTCGTCACTGTGACTGTCTTCGCTGTCGTCGTCCAGCAAAGCGAAGTGGCCACTATCAACTTCGCCCGATCAGGGGGCTTTTTCGGGGTCGCAGATTTAGGGTTTATCAATCCGTTATGTCAGCATAAGAAGCTTATTTACCCGCCTCACGCCTTACCCAAAACAACTTAGTGCATCCATTTCGGAATATAGTTACTACGAACCGGCTTATATAATCGTCTACGGCTCCATTCCGTCCTGCAAAAAGCTGCTACGTGCCTGAACGAACTACATCAACCTCTTTCGACGAGGCCGACGACACCCCAATTGATAACAGCAACCGGGCTACATTAAATGGAGAGAAATCCGAATAGAGGACCATGACTCTGGTGCTGCTACTATCCATTCTTGCCATCGGTTTTTCTTCAGTAGCATTTATCCAACTGCTGCCCACACGGCGTGAGAAGAAATCATCCGAGACCCACGATGCAGTGTCAGTTCAGATCGTAGTTCTAGGGGATATAGGGCATAGCCCGCGGATGCAGTGCCATGCACTTAGCATTGCACGGCATGGTGGCCGAGTCACTGTTATAGGATACCATAGTATGCTTACTCTGGCTGCCCCGTTCGAGTTCCAATTCGCCAACACTTAACCGTGTTGCAGATTCTACTCCAAACCAGGAACTTCTGGATCATCCCCTTATATCAATTGTGGCCCTCCCATCCCCCCCAGCTCTTCTACAGACCAAGAAGAAATTCTTGTTTCCTGTTGCTGCGATCCTCGAGGTCTTGCAACAAGCATGGCACCTCTGGACTGCGCTAGGCTATCGTACAGGCCCTGCCCATTGGATACTAGTCCAGGTAAGCCTTTCCAGTAACGAACATCCCGTTTATCTGTCACCGCCCTTTACTTGTCTCTTTGCTATCATTGTTGAATAAATCGCGGACTTGAGACAAGGAATGAGCCTGCTAAGAACTTGTCTATAAACCTTGGGACAATGGCCACAGAATCCACCAGCAGCACCAACTCTTGCTCTCGCGCTACTTGCCTGCCACCTCCGGCATAGCCGTCTCATTATTGACTGGCATAATTTTGGGTATTCTATTCTTGCATTGAAGCTTGGGTCCGCCCACCCCATGGTCAAACTTATGGCATGGTATGAGAAAGCTTTCTCTTGTTATGCTACTGCCCACTTTTGTGTCAGCAATGCCATGGCTCGGATCTTGCGGGAGCAATTCGAGATTAAAAAGCCTCTTATGGTACTTCACGATCGGCCTTCTTCAGCCTTCAGCCCGATCTTTGATGAGAAGCGACGTCTTGCAATTTTGTCTTCAATTCCTGAGACAAGTCAAAGTGCCACAGATATTATCGAGGGCCGGTGTCGACTCCTTGTTAGTTCTACATCCTGGACACCTGACGAAGATTTTTCTCTTTTACTCGATGCTCTCTGTCGTTACTCTACATCGGCGAAGTCCTCAGTTCTCCCTTCGGTCCCTCTTCTTGTTATTATCACCGGAAAGGGGCCGCTAAAGGACATGTACCTCTCCCAGATAGACAAGCTAAAAGCTGAAGGAAAACTCTTCAATGTATTTATAAAAACAGCCTGGCTCTCCTTCGAGAATTATGCACAATTGCTTGCATGTGCCACATTGGGGGTCTGTCTGCATACAAGTAGCAGCGGTGTTGATCTTCCAATGAAGGTTGTTGATATGTTTGGTGCTGGCCTCCCAGTTGTTGGCTGGGATCAATACGAAGCCTGGCCTGAACTTGTCACCGAAGGGGTCACTGGGCTGGGATTTGATAGTGCAGATAAATTGTCGGGACTTCTCAAGAGCGTACTTGGCGGTGATGGAAGCGCTCTAAAGGTGCTCCGAGAGGGAGCGGTTAAGGAGAGTAGAAATCGCTGGGATCAGACATGGGACCCCATTGCTGGGACTTTTCTTGGCCTGGTCACCTAGCCCAGCCTCTAGTTATATATTGGGTCAGATTTTCAATATCTATAAAATATACAGAGAGCCAATAAGGTCGTCTTTGCACAAGGAACCGGGCTGTATTTGCGGCAAGCTGAATGCTATCAGTATATAGGATGGTTCACTCCGATACTATAACTTGCCCAGTACTTCTCTGTTTAGACCAGTAGTTAGGACATGGTACTCGTAACTAAATGATAGACGGGCACCGTTGAGTATAGAGCCCTAACCAAACTTCCGACTTGTAGTTATGTACGTTCAACTATTTAGGTGGTTAATGTGCTTAGATAACTAAGTAGTTAACTAGTTAGCCAATATTTCAGCCAGCAACTTCATTTAAAAAAACTAGTTAACCGCACCGTTTAACTAGTTACATGGATGTTTTTAAACTTCTAAATCATCCAACACAATCATGCTAGAACCTCTAGAGCTTCGATCGTATCCATCCTGCGACAACTGTCTGTCATGGTCAGCAGATGGCGAAATTGCTGTTGCCAGTGGGGAAATTGTCTATGTCCTGGTGTGTTGCGCATCTTCATGAAGCTCAACCATTCCAAGTCTAACTGATACAATCAATAAACAGTCCCCCAAGCCAAATAGAGAAGAGAAGCAGCAGGATCAGGCCGCTCAAAGGTCAAGTGGCGCGCAGTGGGACATATCCAAACTCAAAACCAATGCTTTCACACTGGATGAGCTGCCTCTTCTGCTCCCGGAGCCTGGTGCCACCTTTTCTATCGGCGAGGAGCAATCTATGAGCCATGCGATCGCTGTAGCCTGGTCCGCTCCCCGTCTGGCGGCATATGGAAAATGCATGCTAGCTGTATTAACTAGCAACCTAGCCTTATCTCTCTGGCAGGCGGTGGACGGTGCTTCCAAATGGAACAGAGCACTTGTTGTTAACCACGCGCTCAGGAAGTATTTCAAGACCCTCACGGGTGATAATGGCCCTCTGTTACGAAGAAAACAAAGAATTAGGGCATTTTCCTGGAATTATTTCGCCCCGAATAAGTTCAACGATCCAGACTCTTGCCATAATAGTGGCATAAATTTCCTCGTCGTCAGCAATGATACCAATGACATAGTGATTCTTAGGGTTACTGCACCCTCATATGGACAGAGTGCCAGTGCAGTTGTTCTTACTCATTACTCTGCATCTTCTGAAGGCATCTGCCTTTCTCGGTCTATAGAACAAGGCTCTGTATTCTCAGAATACACGGCAAAAAGGGCTACAATAACACGTGTTTCCTCAAGCACTTGGTTGAATAAACCAATGCTGGGGGACCATGGAGCTGCAGATTTACGTATCTGGTCCTCTCTAATTGCCTTTATGTTTGGATCGGAGTTGGCTATTCTACGCCTGGATCTTGACACTATTTCCATGAACACTGAGATTACGATCAAACGAATTGAGCTGCTTAACCTGGAGTGGACCCTTGACTATACAACGACCGACCGTGATATAAAGGGTCCATTACACTGGATAGAAACTGCAGTAGGTTCCTTGTTCCTTCAGCCACTGTATTACCATATCACTAATTCGCGTTGGCTCAGGAGACCAGCCACAATCTTGGGTTAGCAGCTGGTATAATATGTGGATTTGTTATTTTGACAATTCCCAAGAATATATGGTCGGAAAGTATTCTTAGGGTAGACATTCACGAAGAAAAATTCGACGCTTCACTTGCAAAATGGCATCCGATTTCAGGTATGGACATCAATATTTCCTAGCCCCTCCTGTTAAGTCATATTCTAACCAAAAGCAGGCTTTACTTCTCGAGTGGGGGATACAAGTAATAGCAGTGACCTCTATATCTTGACATTATCCTCCTTGCATCAACTTGAGTTTCCCAGCATGAGAAGCAAGATACAACCATTATCAAATGGCGACAAATTTTCACAAGACGATTACCTGAGAAGAAATGTTGAAGGTTGCAGGGATCGATTCGATCTAGATTATGACTTAGGTGGTATGTCAACAGCGAAGACTTGGGGCCTATGCAGCCATCGTGGATGGATAGCCACCTGTGCGACCTTTCATCCTACGGATATGGTACAGCACACTACTTCTTCTCAGGAAAGGACAACAATATTGTTTGCCCCTCCAAGCCTAGCAAGATCCGATCACACCGAACTAGGACTACCATGGCATATGCCAGCCATTACACCTAGCAGCATACAGCACTCCGCAGGCAAGGTTATAGCTTTCACTTTGGCGAATAAGCAACCACAATCTCCGGACGACCTCTGGTTGCGAAAACTACTATACGCGGCTGCTTGCTCTACGATATTTCATTCAGCCCTGGAATCATCTTCTCATGCAAAGGAAGTACTCCAATATTTAGCCCACGAGTCTAGTTTAGACCTAGGTTTAGAAATATCTCTGCTAGAGGATCTCGCCGAAGGATCGAACAAACTGAATGCTGTTACAATACCACCGAAATCAAGCGAGCAACTCGAAAGCAACGGAGCAGGCATATTCGAACAGTGCGATATCTGTGGCGGCGGGATTGAATGGTTTTCGCCAGTAGAGTCACAATGTGTGGGAGGTCATTTATTTGGTATGTAATGAATCCTTATAACTTTATCCATGCATCCTGATGGCTTTAGTTGGGTCCAGTGTTAATAAATGCCGATGTATAGCTCGGTGTGCGTTGACATTCTTGTCCATCCAGAACCCATCCATTTCAAAGAGATGCTGTAGATGTGGAAGGGAGTGCCTGGATAACACTAGTGAAGCGTTGGGTATCGAAGGTACCAAAGGGCTACTGGCAAAACTCCTTGAACGGTTTGATGAATG